TCCTCACGGAACAATCCCCACCCCACTGCCCACTCTCGGCCTGGGAGCCGCTCTCCTGCCTCTGTCTGTTACAGCTATTGCTTATAGAGCCATTCGACCATCACATGAGCGTCCCACAAAAGGCTGCATTTGGCACTGCGTGATGTCTTCAAAGTCCACGCGTGTTACACGTCATAAATCAGCTCTCTGTTCCCTTTACGTCTAACATTCTACTGCACTTATATTCCATATTATTGTTCATTCATCTGCTGATAGGAGCAGAGTGAATTGTGTGTGTGTGCGCGTGCAAAATTCAGATATACAAAGAGGAGGAGAAACAGAGAGAAGATCTTACATCCACTGGCTCACTCCCCAAGTGGCTGCAACTGCTGGAGCTGAGCCAATCCAAAGCCAGGAGCCAGTTCCAGGTCTCCCACATGGGTACAGAATCCCAAGGCATTGGGCCATCCTCGACTGCTTTCCCAGGACACAAGCAGGGAGCTGGATGGGAAGTGGGGCCACCGGGATACAAACTGGCACCCACAAGGGATCCCAGAGTGTGCAAGGGAAGGACTTAAGCCACTAGGCTACCGCGCCAGAACCCCCAGTTACCTTTTTTTAAAGTTTATTTATTTAATTATTTTATTGGAAAGTCAGATATACAGGGAGGAGGAGAGACAGAAAGGAAGATCTTCCGTCCAATGATTCACTCCCCAAGCTGCCGCAATGGCCAAAGCTGAGCTGATCTGAAGCCAGGAGTTTCCTTCTCCCGGTCTCCCACATGGGTGCAGGGTCCCAAGGCTTTGGGCTATCCTTGACTGCTTTCCCAGGCCACAGGCAGGGAGCTGGATGGGAAATGGGGCAGCTGGGCCATGAACCAGTGCCCATATGGGATCCCGGGCAGAGTGATTTTCATGAAAACTAGAACATCTGACATGAATGCTACCTCAGCAAAAACATGCCTGGCAAATAGTGGGCACTTTAATTCCTCTTCATTTTACTTTTGTCATATTTTTGCACCAAGTAGTGGTGTAGCATTGATACACCACTGTATATCTACATTTTTTAGAGATTTATTTGAAAGGCTGACTCACATAAAGCGGCAGGGGGATGCATCTTCCAGCCACTGGTCATTTTGCTGATGGCCACAATGGCCAGGGCTGGGCCAGGCCGAAGCTACAGGCGGTCAGGCACTGGGGTCACTGCCGCAGCTTTTCCAGTTGTTCTCAGCAAGGAGCTGAATCAAAAGTGGAGTAGCAGGGGCTTACAATGATGCCTGTGTAAGATGCTAGCATCCTAAGCAGTGGTTTAACCCACTCTGCCACAATGCGGGCACCTTCATATGCACATCATTAAAGAGTGTCCCAACAAATGATTCACAATTTGTGTCACCATTGCCTCCTGTTTCAGCTCCACAATCTATCCCGGGGGTAGGCACTGCTCAGTAGGAGGCACAGGTGATGGCTCTAATAGGGGAGTCCCACAGGGGAAACTCATGAAAGCTCTAAGTCCCAGCTTCCCCCTGGTCCAGCCCTCCTTGCTACAGGCATTTCAGAAACAAAATGGGAGCTCACCCTCGCTCTTTCAAATTGACAATTAAAAAAAAAAAAAGAACTACCTCAAGTCATCTCAATAAAGAACTCGTTAATTCTAACCTTCTCGCCAGACATCTCTGAATTAAAAGATGCGCTACCCTCTCTTACCTCTCCCTTGCTTATATTTTTGAACAAGGATCGTCAATATCAACATAAATCAAACTCAGCAGCTACTATATGCTAAGCATCCAGATGACTTGCCAAGCTTCTCTCTGGTTCCCTGAAACACGGAACAGGAATACTAATAATAGCACCTAAAGGACCTCCAATTCTCAATGTCACAGATTATACCTAGAAAGAACCTTGAGGCTAATTTACGTTGACAATCATTTTCTTTGTAATCACTGTTTCTCAGAAATGGAGGAAAAAGCTCTTCCATCTTCCAAAGTTTTGTTACACAAATATATCCTGTTTACTTTCCAAGTTCCTCTATCAAACGACTGCCCTCTTTTTCATATTCTCTCCATTCATTCAACTATTGAAAACTCCTGTTTTCTGGCAACTGCCAACATAGGAGTTAGGTATATACCTAAATGGAAGAACCCAGAGCCGCTGGCTCCTGGCAGTCAGAACAGGGGAGCCAGGCAGAAGCAAGTCGCCACAGAACCGCTGGGTTCAGAGCCCCCCACAAGGAACACCTGCAAGTTGAGGGAAAGGCCTGAAAGGTGGAAAACATTATCCGACCAGGAACTTTTCTCTCAATTTAACCAGCTGCTCCTCTCCACTTGGGGTTCTCACTTAAAGTCTTCGTCAACTCCCACAGAATCCTTTCTCATTGACAAAACCTGGAACCCCAACCATTACAAGCACAAGGACCCCAAAACTCAATACATTAACAACCTAGTTGCTGATTTTGTAAATGCAGCAGGCCTAAGTTGCATTTTCACGGCTTATTTAAAGGATAATAATAAAATAGATTCAATTTTCTTGAGAATGTCACCTCAAAGAATGAGACACCCTGAAACAACTCCAGTGTGACCTGGAGAAATGTGCCTCAAATCTACAAATGGCCGAAACAGACTTCTAATTTACATGCCCACTTGTGAACAGAGACAACATTATCTATTTGTTCTAACAAGAGCTTTTGCTACTGCTATTTAAATAATTCTAAATTAAACGGATTCTCCACTTGTTCAAAAAGCAATTTAAAACATTTCGATCGCTGAGACTTAGGAAAAAAAAATCCATAGTAAGGACATAGTTATTATCAAACACAGAATATACAAAGGCAAAAATCAAAATTTGTTAGCCTCAAATAACAAAAATTTCCGTCAAAAATCTGCACAGCCAGTCCATCTTATGCCAACGCACAATGTTAGCACTATCTTTAAACACCAAATTATCAACAGCTAACACAGATGGAAAAGTGACATTACCACAGCGCAGCACTGACGTGCTCATGATGGGGCCGCGAGGGGAGCACTGCCCACCTGACGCTGCTGAAGCCACACACCTGAGTGGCCGCCTCTCTGCTCGTCATCCCAGCCCCGCGGGATCACAGGGCAAATTACGCTTTTCTAGCTTTTCTTCTTGGGAGAGACTCACTTTCCACAAAAGTTAGAATTTAAAACAGCAATTGTGCTGAAACACGACACTTCCTAACACATCTCCAGAAAGGCAGAATTACTTAAAGCTTTTAATTTTAACTTTACAGATTACACACAGAAAATTAGAACACCGTAAATATTTTTATTTTCTTACAAACGAGATTAAGCAAATCAAGATAAACATTATATACTTGCACCGCATTTTACTCTAAATATTAAGTTAGTAATACACTAGTAGAATCCTAAATAAACGCTAATGCTCTGGAACAAAGAGTAACAGAAAACAAACTCTAAAATTCATCTAAGAATTAACTATACTCAACTAGAGCAGAGCTATGCTTTTTCAAAGGGTTATTTTCTAAGTTGCCTTATGCGACATTAAAATGTCGTAAAATTAAAACTTCCTGAAATCCAGAAAATAAACCTCACGGTAACACATTTTAAAAATCTCAAAGACAATCCTCACTTCCAAAGCAGTTTGGATTGCACAGGTTCACCGTGATAATTAAGTTTCACTTATCTATAGGGCAGAACACATTCAATGTCTGAAGCAGAAAACCTTGCCGCATTCAGTCTTTGTGATTCACCAAGCTATTGTTCACGCAAAGTAACATCAATTAATGGACTGCTCACCCTGGAGCCTAAATACAGATTTGGGATGGGTCTGGGCTCACCTCTGTCTACTATCCAATCTTCATTCGACGCCCCCCACCCCCCGGGACTGGGAAATAATCGCTGGCTACTTGACAGCTGACTTCGTTAGCACCTGTCGCCTGGTCCCAGCTGTACCACACAAGTTAGTCAAAACAGCTTGCAATTTCTCTAAAAAAAAAAAAAAAGCAAAATTCTTGAAAAACCGGGAACTCACTAAGCATTCACCAAGTTTTCCGAAAGACCGTGCTTCTTGATTGCTCCCATTCCCAAAAAGTAACCCCGTGGCAGGGTTTCTTTTTTTGTTGTTGTTTTTGGCGGGTGGAGGGGGACACACAATGGAGCTGGAACTGAACAGAACGCCCTCCAAACGAACAAAACCCAGACGGCGGACGACGAGCTCCGCTCTGCCTTCAAACTTAAGGCAAAGCCCGGGCGCGACACGGGGGTCTCGGGGCGCTTTCCGGGGGGCGAGGGCGATGTCAGATGCAAAGCTCCTCCGGAGTTCCCACGTCGCGCACGCCCGTCCGGGAGTCGGCGCGCCCGGGGAGCCGGGGCCGTGCGTGGGGCGGGACCGAGCCCAGCCCACCCGCCCGTGGCCGGAGCCGGGGTGGGGGGAGGACCCCGAGTGTCCTGCCCTGCCCTCACGCCGCGAGCCCTCCGGGGAGACACAGTCCGCCCTTTGTCTGAGTGCGGACTCGCCGCTCGGTCCCCACCAACTTGTGTCCGTCCCGTCCCACCCGGGCGCTCCCGCGGCCCCGCCACACAAAGGAGACTTGGCAGCTCGAGGTGGGGGGGACGGCTCTGCCATCCGGACCGGGCACCGGAACGCCCCTCCAAAGCCGGCGGGCAGGCAGAGGGACCCCGGCGGCCCCCCGGCCCCACGCGCGCCGCGGCTCTCGCCCCGCGTCTCTGGGAGAGGGGTCCGCGCTGCCCCACTCGCGGGGTCGCGCGAGCCGGCCCGCCCCCCTCACAGGAGAAGGGGGTGTCCCTCGTGGAGAGGTGGGCGAGAGGGGCAGGGGGTCCTCCCCGCACCCTTCCCCCCTCCCCAGCCCCCCGCGCGCGCGCGCGCGCCCAGGAGCCAAGACCGGGAAAGCTCCGGCTCCGGCGGTCACCGCGCACCGGCAGGGCAGCGGCGGGGAGGTCCCGGCGTCGCCGCCGCCGCCACCCTGGCTCGCACTCCCGGAGCCCGGCCGGCCGAACTGCACAGCTCGACAGCGCGCGTTACCTTCGTCCCGCGCGCCAACCCGCACCGCTCCCGCGCGCCGCCCCCGCGGGCCGCCACAGCCACCGCAGCCGCAGCCGCCGCCGCCGCCGGGGCTCCACTGCCTTGTGTGTCCCACTGGGTGTCGGACGCGACCGGACCGAGCGCCAAACGCTGCAGCCCAATCGCCATCGCTTTTATTTGGCCCCCCCTGTCCAATCAAGCGCCGCCCCGATTGGCGGGATGCGAGACGGGCGCTCGTCCAATCCCAGGGCCCGCCGGGCTCGGAGGCGACGAGCGAGCCCCAACGCCGAGTCGGCGGGCGCGCGGGCGGCGCGTGCGCGCGAGCTGGCGCCGGGGCCCGCGCCGAGGGACGCGGCTCACCGTGTGGAAGCTCGGCCGGCGCCCGCCGTCTCTTTGTTCTTTTCGCTGAAGGCTCGGCGCCTCTCGGGAAGGCGGTGGGCAGCGGGGCGGGGACCGGGGAGTTGAGGGGTGTGGGGTGGCGGGGACGGGCCTCCGGAGCCCGCCACCACAGGCCGGGAAGGCGGGAAGGGTGGGGTGGCGGGAACCGACTGGAGGGCGGGACGACGCGCTCGCGGCTCTTGGCGGGAACCGGCGCGGCGGAGTTGCCGGGCGGGGGAGGGGCGCGGAGGGCAGGAGAGCCGAGTTTGAACCAGTTCAAAACTCCGGGGGCGGGAAGGGCTTGTAACCGCCGCGCCGATTTTTTTTTTTTTTTCCCCGCGCGCCGAGCCCAGCCCCGGCTTGGCTCGGCGCGCGGCCTCGGTGCTGGGCGCTCGGCTCTCCCGGCGCGGCTCCACCCTAGGAAGCCGCCGTCACTTGGACCTTGATCTCTCCGGCGGCCGCTTTCCCGCAGCCGGCTGCACTGGAGCCGCCCGAGGACGCTGTCCCCACCCCTCCCCAGAAACCTGCCAAGTGGCCTTTGTCGTGAAAAGGCGCCCCTTTCGGTCCCCGGTGATGTGTGTCGTTCCAAGCACGTGTCAGCCTTAAAATGAGTTGGACAAGGGGGCATGGCGTTGGCTGCGGCCTCCGCGCAGTGATAAAATGATCACAAGCTTTTATGATGATTATAAAATGTCCTAAGGTGAGGGGGTGGGAGGACTCCACCTGCCTCAAGTCGGAGCTAAGCTAGGCCTGTCGTGCTTAAGGTACCAGCTCTTCTTCCGTTCCTTCATCTGGCGATGAAGGTGAGTATTTGCAGTTTTATTTTGTGTAATAGGATGCCTCTGTGGGGCCACATGCTCTTGCAGACTGGGGTTCCACGTGGGGAGCTCCGACTGGAAAGTTAGCAAAAGTCAGCTATCAACTTAGGTAAGAAGTCTTCATGTTTTAGGAATTGATTCGATGAATTAGCCCATGAGTTTTCCCATCTTTCTTTAAAAAAACTAATGCTTCATATATTCTGAATAAATTCAGTTATTGGAAAATGCGTGTGACAGGAAGCTGGAAAAAAAAAGTTGTGCCCCCATAAAAACCAAGTAATGCACAAAGAAACGTGGGGAAGAGTGAAAGGTAGGTGAAATGTGACTATATTATTAAGTCACCAGTACATTTCATTTTCTGGGGTAAAATGCTCCCTTCTAGACCAGCTATTTAAATCTCCAAAACTTAACTACTTTTACCTAGACTGTTTATCAAATTACTGGCTTTATCTCTATATGATTACATAGTAAAACAGCAGAAGCCTTTGTAACAAATTGATCCATTTAATTGAAAGCTAAAATGACAAAGATCTTCCATCTACTGCTTCTCTCCCTAAATGGCTGCAACAGCCAGGTCTGGGCCAGATGGAAGACAAGAACTCCCTGCTGGGCCCCCCTGCGGATGGCAGGTGCCCACCACTCAGCCATCCTCTGCCACCTGCCCTGTCACACCAGCAGGAAACTAGATCTGAAGTGGAACAGGCAGGACTGGAATCAGCTCCCCAGCATTGGAAGCAGGCATCCCAAAACTGGCTTAACCTGCCACACCGTAACCCCTGCCTTACACTACATTAATTATACTATCAGTAAATCAAAAGATTATGTAAATGAATGCAATATGTATATGTGTTGACACATTTAGAATCAAGGAATGATGCTGAATATGCACTGGAATTACATATCCAACCAGAGCTGACCATACATCTTGGGAAAACGAACAGAGGGAGCTAGCAGGCACTGCATTAAAAAAAAAAAAAGTTGGGTGCTACACAGTAGCCTGGTAGCTAAAGTCCTTGCCTTACAACCACCAAGATCCAATACGGATGCCAGTTGGTATCCTGGCAGCTCCACTTCCCATCCAGCTCCCTGTTTGTGGCCTGGGAAAGCAGTTGAGGATCCCAAAGCCTTGGGACCCTGCACACACGTGGGATAAATCTCCTGGCTTCAGATCACCTTGGCTCCAGCCACTGTGGCCACTTGGGGAGTGAACCACTGGATAGATCTTTCTGTAAATCTGACTTTCCAATAAAAGTAAATAAATCTTTTTAAGTTGTATTAAGTGTAGGGGAGCTTCAAAATTGATGGAAAATGAAATTAAAAATTGTTCAAGAGATTTTGAAATGTGTGCATAGTTTTTTCATATTGTATACTTTACGTGAAACTTTTGAAAATCTCCCTCATGTGATACAAAGGCTGAGTTGGAACAGCAAAGAGCTAAACCAGTGAATCGTGATATTGCCTAAGTTCAGTGATAACATTATCCAATTAAGCAACGTTATTTTAGGTCACAGTGGTAACAGAAGAAAGATCATTTCAAACATTGCAAAAGGACTTCATTCTGTTTTGAAGAATGTGATATTTTGCAGCCTTTTTTTTTTCTTTTTTTATTAGAAAGTCAGATTTTACAGAGAAGAGACAAGGATCTTCCATCCACTACTGGTTCACTCTCCAAGTGGCAGTGACAGCTGGACCTGAGCCAGTCCGAAGCCAGGAGCCTCACGCGGGTGCAGGGTCCCAAGGCCTTGGGATCCTCTACTGCTTTCCCAGGCCACAGGCAGGGAGCTGAATGGGAAGTAGAGCAGCTGGGACCCAAACCGGCGGCCATATGGGATCCCAGTGCATGCAGGACAGGGACTTTAGCTACTATGCTACCACACCAGGCACAGCTACTTTTAATATTTTGACAAATACTGGAAGACTAGACATGAGAAGAAATATTTTTTTTCTTATGAAGATTTACCTAAGGATGTTTAGCCTAGGAGGGCAAGAAAATGAATAGGCCTTTGGTACAAATTAACAATGCATAAAGGCATACAGACCATGTGTGAGTGTGAATGCTAGCTGCTAAAGAGAATTGCACAAGGCAGAAAGGCAAGCTAAACAACGGTTGATAACAAGTGTGAGCGCCATGTCTGTCTAAAGTTACTCAGGTTACAGTAAGTCATTTTGTTCTTTGTTATATTCACTAGGGTGAAGCCAGAAGTGGCGCCTTAAGCCCTGAAGTCTGGAGGTGTTGTGTTGGGCACTGCTGACGCCCAATGCCCCTTCGGGACTTACCTGGGTGAGCAAGAGAAGGCAGCATGCAAAGTGGCAAATTTCCCTTTCCTTCCTTAGCTTTATAAAATTCCCTTTACATCCCATGAATGGGATTTCCTTCCCAGACATTGATTGACTCTCTCAGCATTCAACAATGATTGGCGGGGTGCTGCCTCTAAACGACACTGTTCCAGGTGCTAGGGTTAGAGTGGAAGCGAAACAGAAACTCCTGGCCTCGTGGACTTCGTTCTGATGTGGAAAAGCAGAGTATGCTGCACAGGAACTGCATTAGAGAAAAGAAGGAGGGAGGGAAGGCAAGGCTCCGTGCAAGTTCTGTAATCGTCGCATAGGGCATGCCTCAGTGTAAAGGTGGCATTTGAAGGAGGTGAGGTCGCATTTCCAGAAAGAATGTTAAGTGTTCACAGAGTGGGTAGTGCCTGGGCCTAAAGTGGCTGGTACGCCGTAGGACAGGAGAGGGAACAGTGGGAAAGGATGACCCAGAGGTAAGCGGCCGAGGCAGACCTTTTCAGGGGCGTGGGGACCATGGTTAGGGCCTAGGGGGATTTTGAGCAGAAAAAGTGATCACCAAGATGGTTGTAGCTGCTGGACTGAGAGCCCTGGAGGGGAACAGGGGCCAGATGAGAAGAGCAGAGAGCTGAGCATGTTGTACTGATCCACCCAGAACACTTGGGACTGGCCCAGTGTGGAAGGCAGAAGCTGGTTGGAAAGCTCAAGGTCTGGGCAGTAGGGTTTGCTGGCAGACTGGCTACGAGTGAATGTACGCAGCAGAAGCAAGAGACGGCATGGAGGTTTGGAGGCCAGTTTCGTTTGAAACACAATGTTTGGGATGCATGCTTCCAACCAAGCATAATTGCCAAAGATATGGCTGTTGGTGAATATTCCTGTCAGTTAAGTCAGTGTGTTTGTGGGAGCCCTCTTGAAAGGACACCTCCCCTAACAGGAGTACACGTATATACCAGCTCAGTAAAGGAGGGGTCTCAGTACTCTGCAACTTGCTCACATCATTTCCGGGCAGGCGGGGTTGGGGAGGAGGGGGAGTGTCTGTCCCTCTGCCCAAGGCCAGCTGAGGCTTCCCCTAGAGATGAGAGGCACTTGTGATAACTCACTGTCCTAAAGATGTGCTTGAGTCACAAAGGAAGTTCAGATAAGATTTCTACATGCTTTTACTTTGTAGCAGTTTTAGGTATTTTACAAGCCTGGACTTGTGGAGAGCTGTGACTGGAAACATCCCTTTGATACCATCTGTCTGCGGATAAAAAAGTTCCATCTAAAACCAAGGGAAAATCTGGTGTCAGTGAGGAAAAGCCAGGGAGACGGTGAAATGCGAGGCAGTCGCGAAATGTGGCTTCCTGGAAGCCAAAGAAATTCAGAGAGAGCACCCAACACCATAGCATGCCGCTGACAGGTGGAGTGGCCGTCTGAGACTTGACGTGCTCAGCTTGGACAACGTGGAAGCCTTCGATGCCCTTGATAAGACTGGCCCAAGTAGACTGGTTGGTGAAAAAGCCAGGTTACCCTGGATTCCAAAGTTAGTAAGAGGAGAAAATTGCAGACAGCAGTTGTAGACTGTTTTCTCAAGACTTTACCAAAGCAAAAGGAAAATAGGGCAGGAGGAGTAAGTGGGGTCCAGAGAAAGCTCTTTGTAAAATAGCCGTGTTAGTATTTAGTGAGAGATC